CACTACATACACCAATTGTAATGATAATTTAACAAACTGCAGCAACCCATGTTACCATAAAATGTGTTTTCACTGGTACTTGGCAACACTTTGCCATACTTGAATGATTAGAGACTTCAGGATCTACAGCACTTGTTTATGCACAATAAAGTCATCCCTGCACATGTCCTGCTGTAAAATGGAGGGGAAAAAATCTCCCTAATAAAAAATACTTATACGTAAAAGTGCAATTACTGTTAGATCCTGATCAACCCTGAGGTCATTTTGGTGATAATTGCAAGTCATTAATAAAGCTACTGTTGGTATGTCATGCGCATAAATGTGCGCAACTCTCTGTCGTTGGAGACGCTCATATTCATCCTGCTGCTGTCTGATGCTGCAGGTATTTAACAATTTCCGAAGGAAAACTCCTATAACGAGAAGAAAACAAAAACAAACTAAGGTTCAGCTGCTGTTAAGGTTTTGCCTGTTCATAATGTGACCTCACTCACCTTTGTCGTAGTAAAGTTGTATTTTTGCAGACATTTCAGTCAGTAATAGATGTAAGCACGGAAAGAAAATTGAATGAGGCAAAACTCAACACACATGAAAGCTGATTTGTGATTTTTGAGAGGCCTCTCCCTACTAATGGCACGCAAATTGTGTCTTTTGCGCTTGTTTGTGATGTTTACAGACAGGCTTGGCTACAGTCTTCTAATGCTACTTTCACTTGCACTCGGACACTGCAGTTGCATTCACTGAAACTTAGATGTTGGAAATACGGGGAATGAGCTTGACATCTCAGATCTGGGGTGCAGGGGGAGATTTGAGGGGTGGCTGTGGCCCCTCAGTGCGCCTCTTTGGAGACACCACTGTGTTGAATGCAAGGCAGAAGCAGCGCAGCCCTCCATGTTGCTGAGTTGGCGTTGCTAGGCAACCGCAGTGTAACCTAAAGATCAGCTGTCACTCACTGAAGCAGCTGCAGTTCATCCTCTGTTATAAAGTTGCAGTGATTTTTTTGTTTTTTTGGTTATCTGTGGTGGAAGTTTTTCGAAAGGATGATGGGAGAACACTAATTAAAGGTACATTAATTAAATCCTGATAGCAGCTTGTGCCAAGAGCTAGCAAGCACTTGTCATGCCTTGTATTTTGTGCCAATTCAACCAAAAATGTGTCAGGAAATGTGCACTACCAAATCAACTGGCCAGATTGCAGTCATTTAATTAAAATTTTGTTTGAGATTTTGCGCCAGTAGAGCACAACATCAACTCGTTATAGGAGCCATAAGCTGGGTTCTGCTTCCCTGCCTGACCTGAGGCCCTGTCATAGAGAGTGGTGACACCCTCATTATTTCAGATTTGTGGATGCCTTTTTAAAATTAACTTGTGTCCACACTGTAAAAATAAAACAAAATTTTAAAAATCCTGTTTAAAAAAAAAAAGGGGGCAACAGATATTTGTAAAATGATTGTATTTTAACAGATGTACATCCAGCAAATTAGTGGAATTTCACTGTCACATGTTTTTTTTTTTTTACAGATTTTTGATGTAGATATGATGTATAATTTTTGTGTCTCCCCCCCCCTCGTTTTTTTTTTACAGTCAAAATAGATTTATTTTTCTATTTTTTTATTTTTTTTCTGTGATTTATCTACACACGTGGACAAAATAGTTGGTACCCCTCGATTAAAAAAGAAAATAACTTGAATCTGACAAAAGTAATAATAAATAAAAATTCTATGAAAATGAACCAATGAAAATCAGACGTTGCTTTTGAAACGTGGTTTAACAGAATTATTTTTAAAAATAAACTCGTGAAACAGGCCTGGACAAAAATGATGGTACCCCTAGAAAAGACTGAAAATCATGTGACCATAGGGACATGTTCAATCAAGGTGTGTCCTCTAATTAGCATCACAGGTGTCTACAAACTTGTAGTCAGTCGGTTGACCTATTTATAGGGTTACAAGTCGTCACTGTGCTGTTTGGTGACATGGTGTGTACCACACTAAACATGGACCAGAGGAAGCAAAGGAGACAGTTATCTCAGGAGACCAGAAAGAAAATTATAGACAAGCATGTTAAAGGTAAAGGCTATAAGACCATCTCCAAGCAGCTTGATGTTCCTGTGACGACAGCTGCACGTATTATTCAGAAATTTAAGATCCACAGGACTGTAGCCAACCTCCCTGGATGTGGCAAATTGATGACAAATGGAAGAGACGGAAAATACGAATGGTACCAAAAGAGCCCAGAACAACCTCTAAAGACATTAAAGGTGAACTCCAAGGACAAGGTCCATCAGAGTCAGATCGCACCATCTGTCGCTGTTTGAGCCAAAGT